CTCTCTCTCTCTCTCTCTCTCTCTCTCTCTCTCTCTCTCTCTCTCTCACACACACACACACACACACACACACACACACACCATAATAATAAATAAAACTCAAATTTTCATTTGGACTGAATGTCATGAGTATTACTTAACCCAAGAGTAAATGAACAGATCCAAGGATGAAGCCAAAAGTCTGGATGTTTCCCAGGCCTCTTGGAGCTCTCAGAGGGCCTGAGGAGAACTTGGGATGGCCCAGGGTGAGAGCCAGGGTCTGTGTACTTGAACTTGTCCAGCTTTGTAGACAATACAATTATCAAAGATCTGACATTCTATGAAAATACTATCAGCACTATTGGCCTCCCTCACCTAAAATAGTCTCATGGTCACCCGAGGATATCTGCCGACTTGTCCTATCAGTGGGGATAAACCAGGCCCAACACATCCATCTTTGTCATTCTTGTCCACACCCGTCGGTAGCATGTAGAGGACTGCTGGCCAGGGCTGGGGCTGCCAGAAACAATGACAGAAGTTACAGCTATGTAACTTGATCAGTCCGAATCAAGATGAACACACACACAATGCCGGCTCTGTTAGGAATCTGTGTGCTACGGGGCAAGTACTGAGCTAAGCACACTGTAGACTCCCTCCAGAAACCACATCATACAGTTTGAGACGTCAGGCCTGATGGTATCAGTCAACATGGGCCCTAAGTTACAGAACATCCTGATCTGTCGAAACTTCAACTCCTAGTCATCCTCCTCTTCCTCCTGTCCTTCCTCTTCTTCCTCCGTTTTCCATCTAAGATAATACTATAGCAAGCATTTGTGGGGAGAAATATCCGTAGAGTACTTAGTGCTTCCATGCGGATGGTACCAACCAGAGGAATCCTGGGTTTGGTTTTGGATGTTTTGTTTTGTTTTCTTATCTGCAGAACTTTTGGGAATCAAGGCACTCTCCAAACCTGACTACGGGAGTTATGTGCAGTGTCGGCCCGAGGACGTCCCAGTGTTCTGGCCTTCTCAGCTGACCAGTCTGGAGGCAATCATCGGCTGCAGTATGTTGGGAACAAGGGTGGAGCTACCTCAGATGTAGCCCAGTGTGTCTGGAGTTCTTGAAAGCACAGGTTTACAGGTCAATGACTTAAAAAATAAACCCAGAAAAGACAGGCCTAGAGTTGGGGATGTAGCTCAGTGGTAGAGCGCTTTCCCAGAATGCTCAAAGGCCATTTGGTCTGGTGTCTGACCCCCAGCACTGGGAAACAAACACAAACATAGGCTAAGAGTCTCCAGTGTCTCCTACATGCTCAGTTTAATCCCCTGTTGAGGATTCTAACCCTACTTTTTAGCTCAAGAACCCTTTGACTAAATATTTTGCCGTCTGCTGAAGCTTGACAGATTGATCTAATGGAAGAACCAACCTTCAGCTTGACTTTTTGAGACATTTTGGAAATTAGTAGGGCCTTGAAAGCAAAGGATGAAGCCTAGAAACACAGCTGCATTTTACAACAGTGTTGCCTCTTGATATCTGCTGAGGTCCAATCCCAGGACCCCTCAATAGCAAAGTGTAGCTTCTCCCAGAAGATGTATGTAGTATCCATACTCACTGCCTTCCTCCTGCACACATGAACTCATATCTGGAATGTGTGTGAGTCCTCATACCATGTGTGTGTTTTTGTGAATAGCTCTTATGCTCTATTTTCAAAGATGTATTTATTCTATACATATGAATGTTTTGCCTGCACTACATATGTGCAGTGTGTGTGTGCCTGATACCAACAGAGGCCAGAAGAGGGCATCAGATCTCCTGAAACTGAAGTAACAGGCGGTTGTGAGCTGCCATGTGGGTGCTAGGAACCAAACGCAAGTCCTCTGCAAGAGCACAGAATACTTTTAAATCTGGAGCTGTCTCTCTGTGCCCATTATAAGTGAATGTCAAGAAAAAACCCTGTTTGTCTTCACCAGAGGCACAAATTTTCTTCTTTTGAATGTTTTCAATCAACAATTTATTGTAGAAATTATTTAATCTCAATAATCTCAGTTCCTGGATAAAAGACACACAATTTTTATTAAGCCTTAATCAGCACTAAAGCTGGGCAGACATCTACCCTCTATGCTATTTCCCAAAACCAGACAGAGTCAGGTTTAGTGCTACTTTATTTTAACTGTGTTTGGGAGAGTTCAACTTTCAGAATGTCTTTCCTGATTCCGGTGGCAAGACACAGATTGCACAGTCCATGGTTCTACTGTTTATTTAAAAGTCCATGCATTGAGTACCTGCTGTATACCAGGTATGAGCTCAGACCTTAGAAGCACAAAGCTACATCCCCAGGGAACTTGTAGAAATTCCTAGGTATGGCCTGGGTAGGGAGGGCAGGTGTGCTCATACACAGGCAGTAAATATCCCCCAGCACAGCAGGCTCTTCGCTTCCCTGCCATCCCATGGCATGTGCCTGTAAAGTAGATCCCCCAGCACAACCCAACCCTCTTAAATCTGACGGCATATGGGTTGTGGATAAGAAATGCCACCACCAGTCATTGTTGAATGAACCATTCTCACACCTCAACATCTAAGTTTTATTTGCAATGAATTCCCTGCTCCATGCTCCCTTGTCTTAGTCAGGGTTTTACTGTTGTGAAGAGGCACGGTGACCAAGGCAACTCTTATAAGGACAACATTTAATTGGGGCTGGCTTACAGGTTTAGAGGTTCAGCCTATTATCATCAAAGTGGGAACATGGCAGCATTCAAGCAGGCATGGTGTAGGCAGAGCTGAGAGGGCTACGTCTTCATCCAAAAGCTGCTAGGAGAAGACTGACTTCCAGGCAGCTAGGATGAGGCTCTTTGAGCCTACGCCCACAGTGACACATCTACTTTAACAAGGCCACGCCTTCTACTAGTGCCACGCCCTAATCCAAGCATATACAAACCATCACACCCCTACAGCTGGTGAGAACAAAGCCTTCTGCCACGTTCTGAACCTGCTGCTCTTGTGTGTGCCTGGCTTTCATGGGACCACTTTTTAGGTGCCATCCAAGACACTGGGGGGAAAAAAGAAAAAAGAAAAAAAAAAGGAAACCATTTCTCAGTTAATAGTTGTTCCCTTTCTGAATCACAAAGTTTATGCATCTGTCAATAGATACTCCTTTTGAATGTTGGCTGACTCTGCCTATTAAATCCACGAAATGTTACAATTTCTGTAAAATCCAGGATAGCATTTACTCTCCTCACATTAACATTTATTTAGCACCTGTTACATGGAAGACGTTATGTGGAATTCTGAGGTAAAGAAACAACGGTGCCTCCTGGTGAGAAGCACACAGGTAAAGTACTCAAATACAAAGCCATACCAAGGAAAGCAGAAGACAGAGGTTCAATCTACTAAGTAGTAAGCACCTAGAGGCCAGACACAAGGACAAGGAGAAGATGCAGTGGCCGTCTCAATAGTGCAAACCATTACTGAGGTAATCTGTTCCTAGCACTTTGCTACGCGTGTACCTGCACTTCCCAGCTTAATGCTGATAGAACCAGACAAGGCACAGCCATTATTTTATAGCATGACAGACATGGGTAGAAAGGGTAAAGTCACACCTGAAGCTTGACCACATCCTCCACGATGCAGCCACTCTGAGGACGATGCCAGTGTAATCTAGTGCGGGAGTGGGGAGTTAAGAAAATGTAAAGACTGTGAGAAAACAGAACTTCTGTCTATAGAGGATGCCCAATCTAGCGTCAGCTACAAGGTCAAGCGAGTGGCTTCATGCACTGAGAGTTCAGACCGTGCTTTCTGACATCCATAACTGTGATGGACAGAATCTCTCAGGGCTCACAGTCCAGCTGTGGCTGTACCTCACTTTTTACCTTATTCACCTCCACTTTCCCAAGAAGTGGGGGCAATTGTTTAAATAGAACTCGGTCTAGCCATATGCCAGCTTATTCTGACCATGCTGCCAGCATGCAGCCTGGCAAATTCTATTAATAGGCTTGGTGCCAGGGCCATCTTTCTCCCCATGGTGAACAGTGAAAATGGACTGGGCTTGGCAGAGCGATGTCACAGCCCCTTCTCTTGTGTGTTTCAGAGGTCCCATTGGCTTTCTCCAGCCCTCCGGGATGCACGGTGACGCTCCCAAAGGACACGGTGTCTCCAGCTAGTTGTCTGACTCCTGAGATGGTTCCAGAAGTCCACAGCATTTCCAAAGACCCTTTGCATTATAGCATAGTGTCAGCCCCTGCTGCTCAAAAGGTCAGAGAACTAGAGTCCACAATCGCCATAGACCCAGGTGAGAAACAAGGTATTCAAGGCTGGGGAGATAGTGGGTGGGGTCCTTGGTGCTCAATGTGTGTGTGTGTGTGTGTGTGTGTGTGTGTGTGTGTGTGCTTTTAGCACTGTGCATCAGGATTCAGTGGAAGACATAAGATTACTTCTTATCTGGGGATCCCCCCAAGGTTGGGGCCAGGCAGCTATCTTGTCACAGCAGAGTATAGCCTGACTTTATACTGTATATTGCATCTTAGGGAAATAGCTGACCTTCTAGAGCTTGTAGGCCACCAGCTTTCTAAGCGTGGGACAAGGCTGGTAGAACTTTCCAGGGAGCTTGCTGATTATACTTAGGAGGTCTCCTGTGAGCTGGTTGAAAACTTTTCCCTTCCGGGTTGGTATGCATTTGGGAGAATATGTCCCGGGTAGCCAGCAGAGGGCGCTAGGTCACCCACTATTCTGTATGGTACAATTAGTGCTACGGTCCATTCTCATGAGACAATTGCTGTGTGGCTTTGCCTCAGTTTCCTGATCAGGGTAACAAGACTACTGACAATTACACCTCTCTGCCAGGGTTGTGCTAAATAGCAAGGACATTACTTATGCTACAGTTACTCCCTGCTTGGCACCAGTAAATGCACGTTCGTCTTAGTAAATGCTCTGGTGTCTCTATGAAACAGTTTTTGTTAGCTTCATTTAGTAAAAGAAACCAAAGCATATAAAGTTAAAAACTACCTAGTTTATATTCCCGGAAGGTGGTTGGGGAAGATGTTGAGCCCTTCTCTGCTGACTCTGTTGGCCATGGTTTATACATGCTGTATATATTAGACTCTGAAATACAAATTATGTGTCATTTTCTTGCCTGTGCAGTTAAAGTGTTCTCTAGCATTCCTTAGCTCATAGCCCATTCTCCCTGTACCTTCTCACGAGGTGTGTTCCAAAAACTGGAGGGCAGACACGCCTCAAATATCTGGCAATGTCTGGGAGTTATGGCCTCTCCCAATGCCTCAATAACTCGAGTTTTCCCATACAGATGTTGGGATCAGTGGGTGGGCCCAGTGGGATCAGAGGGGCAAAGCCAGCCTGGGGAAGAAACTCCCAGGAACCAGCCAGAGCTGCCTCTGAAGACAGTCTAGAGAGAGCATTGCCTCACGGTGTTGTGAAACTGACCCTGTGGGAGTCCAGTGACCTCTCAGAGTCCCATGAGGCCTGCTGGCCGGCCAGAAGACTCAAGAGAGCACACCTCACTTAGAAATGGCTGCTTCTGTACCCTGAGGCTGAAGACAATAATGATCACTAAGCTTCCTGATACACGGCCAGACATGGCTTTTTCTTGGTTCGTTGACTCCCTTGTTCATTCATTTTTGTGGAGACTCAGGTTTTATTGACATATAAACACATAGTAAACTCATCATATATACCTACCACAGAAACACCCTGGAGGATGTGTTATGGCATGTGTATATAGAGTTGTTTTTGGTGTGCCATCTTCTTGCTTGGGCAATCAAAAAGAGTGTCCCAGGGCTAATGCGACAGTTCACTGGTTAAAGACACTTGCCAGAAAGCTGGTGACCTGACTTTGATCCTCAGGACCCACGCAGTAGGAAACGAACAACTCCTGCAAGTCTGATCCTGCTCTCTGATCTCTGACATGCATGTAGCACACACATGGGCACATTTAAAAGTGTGGCTTTTAAAAAGGGACCTTCCTTAATTTCCTGGATAGATATTTAATTTCTTTTCTCTAATAGTCTCTCCTTCTCAGACAGTCTTACCCAAGCTCATGGCTCCCCATTTAACATAGCGTCATGAGGAAAGATGAATTATTAGCTCTGTAATTAGCTTTGAGTTTAAAAGAAGGAGCCAACAGCAGATTTACAGCCCCCTTGGTCCCCCGTTGCTTTGTAAGGATGAGCAGAGAGGTCAGACACAACGCCTGCCTTCCACTGGCGCTCCTGCAGACGGGTGTGGGGCTTGAAGCATGAGTCCCAGAGGAGGCAGATTGATGACTGTCTGATGCGCTGATTCCATCTAGGAAAAACCATCTTTAATCTGCAAGAACAATAGACGGTTTTGCTCCCCACCCGAATAAGCAGATATGATTAACGGTGGTGTGCAGTGTGCTGGGCACTAGTTACCGAGCTTATTAATAGAGGCACTCGGTCATTTTTAAGAGGACGTTGACTTGCATATTATGTGTCTGGAGGACATGGAGGATGCGAGATTTATAGTAATGGTTTTTGCCCTGGTAATAAAATCATCATCTATATACAGAGCCTTCAGTTGCCCAAACTCTCCTCCCTCACCCTGTCTTTAATATTACTCATCGGAGCCCACGAGACATGTTACACCCGATTTTATTGTACAGAATGCTGTTAATCTCCTCCTTTCTTGTCATCAGTACTTCATGTTCATTGTAGGAACATCAGAAAGTACATGAAAATAGCCAGGGTGGTGATGTATGTGTCTGATCCCTGCATTTAGGAGGCTGAGGCAGGGGGATCATTAATTCAAGACTGGGGCTTGACTCGGTCTCAAAAATGAATCTAATAATTAATAAAATTAAGCCTTACAAAAGAAAATGTGTGAAAGTAAAGAATCGATAAAAATTCCCCGAATCCTGGAGCCTGAGGAGATAGTTCAGTTAGTTAAATACTTACCAGGTTGGCAGGAGGAGGAGCTGGGTTCAGTCCCCAGCACACACATAAGAAGCAGGGCCCAGCAGTGTACCCCTGGGATTCCAGAACGAAGAAGGCAGACAAGGGGATCTTGAGGCTCACTGGTCAGTCAGCCCAGCCAAATCAGTGAGCTCCAGGGTCAGTGAGAAACCCTGCCTCAAAAAAACAAAAACAAAAACTAACCTTTTTTAGTTAAATTAATTAGAACAAGTAACCAAAGACACATGACATCAGTCTCTGGTCTCCATGTGCACACTCACACAAACACACGTGCACAAGAACACATACAAACACAGACACCTATCCACACACTTTTTTAAAATACCAGAATCCATTACAGTCAATAAATTATTGATAGACCGGTGTTTACCTTTAAAGTGCTTTTTTAAATCTCAAATCCTTGCATACAGTAATATATGTACTGGAACCCCACCGTAATACTGTTTTAAGACTTTGTGAAATATACTGTGATGACTTTCCATATCATGAAATAATTTCCATGATATCTACACACTGTCGATTTGTTTGAGACAAAGTCTTACTTTATAGCCCAGGCTAGCCTTGAACTATCTGCAATCCACCTGCCTCAGTCACCTAGCTATCACCTGAGGAGATAGTTCAGTTAGTTAAATACTTACCAGGTTGGCAGGA